CCTCACCTCTCTCCCCATCCCATCCCAAAGGGGCTCCACAGGACTTGGGCCTGTTCCGATGCTTCACGAACACACTCCAATTCCTTGCAGAAATGGTGGCTGCTTTCAGAGCTTTCTGTCCCAATCAGCTGGCTGTTGGAAAACCGCAATGCTCTCCTGCCTCTTTGGGAAACCAGAATCTGCATGCTAAGGCAGTGGCTTCAGGATGAGCTTTCCGAAATCTTTCCCTTGCTTTAAACCCCTTCTATTCCCCCCCCCCAAAAAAAATTGACATTTCTTAAAGAAAACAAAAACATCAAAAACATCAAAGAAAAAACAAAAAAGGCTGGGACAAGGAAAAAACTTGTTCATCTTTTTCTTTCCCAATCCCGTTAGGTGTTGAAACTAAATTCCCCACCTCTGTCCTCCAATCTCTATCCCCTTTAACAATTTAATTTATTAACTTCCTGCATGTGTGGAAAGATGGTGACAAAATCTGTAAATTACTTATCTTGACTCCACGCTAAAGAGTAGAGGAAAGGAACGAAGCAAGCGAAGAAAATTTTTTTCCTTGAGGAGCCAGCTAGAACTCCCCTAAAAATGTTTTGCTGTTTGTCTAATTGCCTTTAGAACCTAGCTAGGATTCTAAAGCCAAGTCCTAACTGGATCCTAAAGGCAGTCATACAAACAGCAAAAATATTTTCAAGGACCTATTTCTATCCAATTTGCTGCATATGTTTTGCTCTAACCAGCTAAATTTTTTGAGCTGAATTTTTTATTTCAGCTTCTCCAAACAAAAAACTGCAGAAAGATTTTCTTTACTTGCTTCATTCCTTTCCTTTACTCTTCAGCCTGGCACTTGCTTCTGGGCCACAGCCATGCTGTGTAGGGACACTGGGGGACGGAGCAGCTTGCTTTCATTCCTAACGTGACAAAATTTCTAGATGGAGGTTATGGTAAAAAGTAAGTGAGTGATTGGCAATGGAGGTGAGGAGGCCTGAAGCAGGTGGGCTTATATCTGCACTAGGCCTTCTAGGATCTCCCCATACCTGAGGCACCCCATGCTCATTTTAACGACCTACACATTCATTTAACAATTGCACTAGGGAGAGTATGGATGGTTAGTTGGAATGTGAGGCAGTTCATTTAATATTTGTCCTGACTTCCAACCATAATGGTCAGGTTCCATTATGGGCAGGCTCCATTATGGTTATAACTTGAGATCTATCTGTATATATGTGGATTCTAAGTATCACAATCTCATGGGGATAATGAGTTTTAAATCACTTATTTTGCTATATGTGCACATTAAAATGATTTGCTGATATTAAGATTTAGCAATAGCCTTTTTAAACTTCAGAAACAGATGTTTTAGTGCATGTGTACCTTTAAATACTTCCATTTCTGTAAATATTGTATGACTGCAGATTCTTGAAATTCCTATTTTTCAGGTGTTGGAAAATCATGTTTGTTGTTGCAGTTTACAGACAAAAGGTTTCAACCAGTTCATGACCTTACTATAGGTAAGTCCTTAGTAGATAAATGATGAAAGATGAAACATTTATACATAAATAGCTCTTAATCCATTTGATATGTAATTTAGGTACATACTGAACAATTATTATTTCCACAATTATAATTACATTTGTATATAATTACTGTTTTTGATAGTTGTATGAAAAATTTTGGGCATTTTAGCTTACTGTGGGCAAACTGTTGATTCATGTGATTCATCTACTCTACTATGTGATTTTTGATAGGGCCAGGAAGCATGTGCTTAGCAAATAAACTGGAAATGATAGCTTATCATTTCCTTTGACAACCAAAACAATGGTATGTGAAGAAATAACAAGCCAGGATAATCTTTTCAAGTAATAGTAAATCTGGGGAACTCTTAACTAAAATGATCGGAAATAGGAAGATGGGAATTCAATATGTTGCTCTCTGCTGGAGACTTGTACAGGTAGTCCTTGACTTACAACATTTTGTTTAGTGATTGTTCAAAGTTACAATAGCAAAGAAAAAAGTGATTTATGACCATTTTTCACAGTTACAGCCTTTACAACATCCCCATGATCATGTGATCAAAATTCAGGTGGTGGACAACTGGTTCATATTTAGGACCATTGCTGTGTCCCAAGATCATGTGATCACCTTTGGCAACCTTCTGACAAGCAAAGTCAATGAGAAAGCCAGATTTACTTAACGACCGGGTTACTAACTAATCAACTGCAATTATTCCCTTAACAACTGTGGCAAGAAAGGTCGTAAAATGGGTCAAAACTCTCTTAACATATGTCTCACTTAACAACATAAATTTTGGGCTCAATTGTTGCAGGACTACCTACAATCACTCAAGAGAGACCTTCTCCACCCCCACACATATACATAAACACACAAAAATATATAACAACAGTTAAAATTGTGCACAATGAAAACTATTTTAAAATCTTATTAAAGGATGCTTTGCGGGAGAAAGGAGATAACTATTTCTTCGTAGTAACCAACCCTATATTGAAACTATTACAAAGTTATTCCTGTAACTCTGTCAAGGAACTCCTCTAAAATTTCCTCAAAATCAATCCTACCTTCCTGTCATATGGTTCTATGATAAAATACAGAACCCTTCAAAAATGATTTTTGACTCTGGCCATCTGATGGTAGAGTCTTCTAAACAGAATATAAACCTCTTTTTGGATACTTTTCCAGAAACATAAATTCTGTGTTCTTGCGATAAGCGTTTATGAGTGTGGTGGTGGTGGTGGCTTTTAGACAGTTATGTTAATGGAAAGGAATATACAACACCAGCATATTGCTTATTTTTTTGACAAAACTACTGCCCTATTGTTTATTATACAGTAATAATGCCAGTTTAAATTATACAGAATAACCCAGTTTCTAAAATGTTTCCCAAAAATAAAACACGAGTTTAAAATTATATGAATTATGTTTCTCTGAATGTATAGAGTTCAATTAACAGATTTATTTTCTTGTGTTCTTAATAGCAGTTAGTTACCAGGAAGTAACTTTAAAAGAAAAAAAGAGCCATATAGTATAGTATAGTATACCATTTCTTAAAGTATGAATGTCTTTGATCTATTTTCTCTTTCCCTATTTTAACAAAGAAAATCATACTTTGGGATGATTATTCTTATTTTTCTTACCATAGTTCAAATGCAGAAGTTTTTTTATTTTATTTTTTCTTGCGTTTCCTTGTGATTAAAGGTTTTCCTGTAGTCCTTGAACTTGTAGAAATATATGCAAACATTGATTGTATTGTCACAGTGACTGAGTCCTGTACTCTCTCTTTGTTGTTCACAATTAGTGAACTCTCCTACCTGCATTTTGCCTCTCAGAAGAGGAATTGAATATGGCACCTACCCACAGAATAATAAAAATAATAGGAACTATGGCCATGCATAAGATTTGACAAGAGTTTCAGAATGAGCCAGGCAGGCATTATGAAGAGAGATCCTTCTGTGGAAGCCAGGCACTCTTTCTGTCCTGGAGTCCAATCCCAAAACATCATGGTAAGCTGTGCTTATTCTCTGGAGGGAGAGGGCATACAAGCTACAGCTTCAAACTGTAACTTAGAACTAGGCAGATCCCAATCCACGTTATCACTAACATCATCAGTAAGGCATCTCCATTCATTTGCATGACAGTCTAAATGCTAAAATGAATATAAGTTGCCTCTACCTTAGCCTGTAGAGATAAAGGCAAAGTAATAATTATATTTCCTTTAGAAATGATTAGTAAGGCCTCTTCATGCTACAGTAGTGGGTTTGAATGTGAGCCGTCTAAGTGCTAGAAACTATACTGTGATTTCTGGCATGAATGGAAACTTAGCAAATCTGTATCAAATAGTGTAAAGGAACTAGAATTCTGAAGCAACTGCAGAACAGTATTGCAATGTTTTTGAAAGACTAATGTAGATCCTTATTTCATTTTCTTCTTTTACAATTTTGTGTATTTTTCTGATTGTTTTCCTATATAGTTAATCAAAACTAAGAAACGATGGGTTTCATTGATTTTGTTTCATTATTCAGGTGTAGAATTTGGTGCTCGAATGATAACCATTGACGGGAAGCAGATAAAACTTCAGATATGGGATACAGTAAGTAAAAATCTTCCTGCAAGAATTTTTTAGACAAATTCAGATTGTTATTTTAAAAAATAGAAGCTACCAAAAATAATATGATCCTCCAGTTTAGCAAAATTGGTCCTTGATTTTGCACTTGTTAAGCTGGAAATATTATGAATCAATAGTTTATATCAGGATACACTGTGGCTTCATTTTATACTTGAAGTGGTGGTGGTAATGATAATGATTATGATTGTGAAATTATTGTTAACTTGTTACTTCTAGGCTTTGTAAAGAGTAGGGAAATGATAATTTTTTGTCTTGTCTACCTATGGTCTTTTTTTTACTGAACATTTTTACTGAATGAAGAGGTATTAAGCAGATGCATTATAGAATTAGTTCATTCAATAATATTGCATCATTTACTTCAGTGCAATTGGCAAAAAGGCTTTCACTTTAAAACAATTCTTTAAAAATTGTTTTGAATTTTTTTTACCATTCTGATTTAAACATAATAATACTTAATGGTCAACTCATGGTTCTTATCCATAAAAAGAAACAGAAAAAAGTATTTATGTGTTGCTTTTGGCACTTAATAACAAGAAAGTAGAAGTTTATAGCAGGACATTGGAAAGAGCATTGAAGTCTTGTTGCTTTCTGTTTCCATCAAATAACTTTGCTTAGAATTGCTGGAAGGGAAACAGGACCAAGCCTTCGATTTCCCTTCAGCTGTTGAGCTTTGTAATTAGCAGGGCAGGTATGTTGTGAAAGTGAACACGGGTCATGATTTCCAACAATATTGTAATACTATTTCCAATAAGAATTAAATTATAGCTTTTGCAATATAACCTGGATGGATAAGAGAGATACATAAAAAAAGATTGAGTAAGTAGGTAAAAGTTACAGATTGTCCATTGCTACAGTGGAAAGCTACTAACTTGCTCCCATATCACATTTATTAATGTATCTTCTATATTGATATTAGAGCAATACTTCATGAATGAAGGCAATTAAACATTTCCCAGGATAATGTTGCAGGATCCAATATGGGTTGGAAGCAATACAATGCAGCTTTCGAGATATGCAAGTGAGCATTGCATATCGCCCAGAAGCTACTATATGAGGACAAAACATGCTTTGCAAAGATCACTTGGAGATGGGAAATACTTTTAATGTAATCTATCAGATCCTCTGCATGGATTGCCCCTGTGACTATGTAGGGCAGATGGGGAGGAAGCTAACCACCAGACTGCAAGAACAGAAGTGAGCATCATATGTCATTGGTAGCCTGACATTGCAATGAACAAGGACATACATTCAATTTCTCAGCTGCTAAAGAGTTTTGGCCGAGCAGATAAAAAGATAACCAGGGAAATGATTGAAGCATGAGAAACAGTTCCCTTATCAGTCAACTGCAGAGCTAATTTACCACCATCTTAACAGATACTTAGGAGGACTGGATAGCACAAGGAAATAACAGCCAATAGCCAGCCATCAACACATCAATCAACCAATAGGAATCCTCACCCATCAGGCACCGTGTAAATATAATGCATGCCAGTAGTAGAGAGAAGTTCTATGAGGATGGGCTCCAGCATGAGGCCAAAAGCTCGGAAAACTAAACCTCTAGTTCTGATGACTGACCATTTGGCTCATGCAGTAATAGTTCAGTTTCTGAAAATTTCACAATATCAAGTAATACATAAGTTAGATTTAGTGTAAAGTTTCAATTCATGGATGGATCAAATCCAGCAAGAAATGAGAAAATGACCATTTTTAACAGGACTAACATTTTGCTTTAAGAAACATTAAATTAACAGATTCACTCTGGTTTGTTCAGTTTTAAAAAAATCCTACACAGGATATATTTTATTCCTGGTTTCTTTAAATACTGCCTTTATCTTTCAAGTTTTCAAGATTGTATTTTATTTCATATGTAGGCTTACAACCATTTATGACTACTTTACAACCATTCATTTAGTGACTGTTCATAGATACAATGGCACTGAAAAACTGAGTTACATCCTCCCACTTATGACCTTTGCAGGGTCCCTGCAGTCATGTGATCACAATCTAGGCACTTGCTAACTACCTTGCACA